CCCCCAGCCTCTCTCCATGGCTCGTCCCTTTCGTCTACAGCCTCGTCTTCTCCATGACCATGCAGATGTACTTGCAGGCGCAGATGAAGAACACTGTCGTGGGAGTGGTCTCGGCCTTGGCGTTCGGTGCCGACGTGGCCATCTCGTGGGTCCTGGTGAACAAGATGGGGTTGGGGATGGTGGGGGCCATGCTGGGTCTCAACGTGAGTGGGTGGGCCATCGTGGTCGCTGAGTTCGTCTACGTGTCAGGTGGATGGTGCGCTTCCACTTGGCGTGGCTTCTCCTCTGCTGCTTTTCTCGATCTCTGGCCCATGTTCAAACTCTCCATCTCCTCCGGTTTCATGATCTGGTAAATATATATTTTTTAAAATTCATTAATTACTCTTAGAATATATCTACGATATTCTTAAATTAATGCGCCCATATTATTGCAATCCACCATTGCTTTGGTAATGATTAATGACTAGAAAAAGTCGAACGTGCCTTAAAAAACTGACGCGTGGCACTCATCTCCTCCCTTGTATCTTTTTCTCGAGGCCGCAGCTTGGAATTGTGGTACTTTGGCATTCTTGTTCTGATCGCAGGCTACACAAAAGATGCAAAAGTTGCAATTTCTGCTTTCTCCATTTGGTACGCAAAAGCTTATCCTATATATATATATTCCATAATCACTAACATCATTTTGTACTGTTGATACATACGTATAACGTAAGACATTTCAAAGTTTCTAACCACGAATTAAACTCCGTTTAATGTTTTCGACTCATTTCCAAATAATTATTAACAATCAACGATCAATCAAATCTGCATGCAGCCAATATATCTACGCATGGGAATTCAACATATGCCTCGGCTTCTTGGGAGCTGCATGGTACGCTTACATATCATCTTTTACACATTTAAACCGTATATATATATATATATATATATATATATTTGATACGTAACTCATTATACAACCCATGTGTGTATATCTGTTTGCGCGTATATATACTTGAAAAAAGTGTTCGGGTGGCGAATGAGCTGGGACGAGGAAACGCGGAAGGGGTGAAATTTTCGATAAAAGTGGTGTTGAGCATCTCCGTAGTAACCGGGCTGATCTTCTGGACCCTGTGTCTTGTCTTCCGTCACGAGATCGCGTACGTGTTCACCAACAGCGAAGAGATCGCAGCTGCCGTCACCGATCTCTCCACCCTTCTCGCTTTCTCCATTCTGTTCAACACCATCCAGCCCATTCTCTCCGGTACATTGAAAATAACACTAAAACTATATAATAGAATCACGACCCATTCAATCATATAATATAAAGTAATTAAAGCATATATATATATATATATATGGTTGGTGACACAGGTGT